TTAGTTCATGCAGTGTACATCCCTGTTTAGTTTATGCAGTGTACATCTGTGTTTAGTTCATGCTTTGTTCATCTCCGTTTAGTTCATGCAGTGTACAGTTCATGCAGTGTACATCTGTGTTTAGTTCATGCAGTGTACATCTGTGTTTAGTTCATGCAGTGTACATCTGTGTTTAGTTCATGTAGTGTACGTCTCTGTTTAGTTCATTCAGTGTACGTTATGTTAATGGGTGGTTCTCGTGATCGATGTTGTGTATCAGTTAGTTGTCATGTAATTGAATTATGGCAAAAATATCTTAAAGATTGCAAGTAGTAGACACTGCTTGTGGAATAATAGTCCCGAAAGTTGCCGTATGCCACGTTTTACTTCATAAACGTTCACTTGGTGTTCTTCTAAAATCATCAAACATGAATTTTTTTACGAAATATACTTAATTATGGAGCTAGTGACCTCCCCCTATGGATTTTGATATTTCTTTGATTTCTTTCAGTCGCCTCCTAGGTTCACAATTTCGGTCCCTATTATCACTATAAGTCCTAAAAGGACGAAACAGCTGTATGATGTACTTTGATTTATTATTTGGCGCCACTCTATCTTAACGAAGTTTTTATTAAAATGTGTTATACACTTGTGTGTCTTTTGTACGTAAGTGTTGCTACGGTCGTTGTCGTAGACGACCACATAAGAGTTCCATTCATATTGTGTAATATTACGTCGACATCGAACTTTGAAAAGAGCAACCTTGTAGCAATGGTGTAATTGTGTAGACCGAATAATCCCACAATATGATTTTTTGTGTACACCAGGCCCCACTTGTATAAAACATCTCAACTTGAGATTTCCTCAAGTCGAGATTTTCCTCAGATAATATCTCCTTGAAAATATCTTGTATGAAAATTCCTCAAGGAATTTCAGGACATCCTAGCCGATGCCTTCCTCCTATTCCTTTAGAAAATTTTATACAAGTCGTTTTTGAGGAGATATCAGCTGAGGAAAATCTCGACTTGAGGAAATCTCAAGTTGAGATGTTTTGTACAAGTGGGGCCTGAATAATTAAAACTATTAATTAACAAAATATCTCGTATTTCCATGCATTTCCGTAATCTTGCCTCATTGCAATTAAACCAATTTTTAAAGAAGGTATATTTCGAAACTAAATTTCGTTTATTACATCTGACAAAGCTGGTTCTGATTTGCATTCTGTCGCCTTATGTCGCCATTTGTCGCCATTTGTTGCCACGTTTGTCTCCATTTTGTCCTCATTATTGCCTTTATACTGTCATTATTTGCTCTCATTGGTGTCAATATTGTCCAGATTTTGTCCCTGTTTGTCCCCTTATTCTGTCCTTATATTTGTTCCAATGTCCCCCATTTTGTCCTCATTTTCCCAAAGCTGTCTTTATTTGCTTTCATTTATGTGGCTATTGGCCTCATTTTGTCCTCGTTTATCAACACACTGACATCGTTGATTCTCGTGTTTATTTATTCTCGCACTATCGTTACACTCATGTGTACCACGTGATAAATATGTAGGAAGACATTTTCTCACAACTAAACTTGTTTTATTAATACACGTTGACAATAAGATAAATCAAATTGAGGATTTATTTACCTATACTGGATCATTTTGTTTGTAGCTCAAGTATTTGCCAAGGAACCTAATTCAAAAACAAAATATTTTTTACAACTTTCCTATTTCAGTCCCCAATTATAGAGTTCTTTAACCTCGTATTCTTCGCCGCATTCCGCGGCTGATTTAGAAAAAGAATCATTTGAATTGTTTACTGACCAACAAGTTGACACAGCATGCGAAGAATCTAACCAAACGCAAGACGGAAACCAGTATACGGAAGAACCTTTCCTTCATCAACCAACCACATCGCCAGCGAATCTGACGAAAAATGGCTACTTTTTAATTAACAAAGAAACAGAAAATACAAATATATGCATGATTGAACACCAAAACGGCCTACACCATGTAAAGATGTTCCATTGTATAAACATGTTAAAGACTGTTTTGATAAAGGAAGACAATGAATACCCCGTGAAGAGTTGTGACGTCATAGAATATACATGAATTCTGAGACATACATGATTAGGTACTGAAAAAAACGAAATATTCACAAGGTAAAAATTCAATTATAATTGATTTATATCTTCAATTATAGAGAAATTAATATTTTTTATTTTCCTATTGTGAAACAATTAATGTTAAGTTTAATTGTAACTTTATTGATTAAAACAACCTCCACCGAAGAAGATAATGAAAAGAGCCAGAAACACTATAGTTATGCTGGAGAGAAGAGTGAATACTTAAATGTACTCACTGTAAGTATAGTTAGCATGTTGGGAAAATAGAAATAAACGCAAAAAGAAATGAAAAGACGACATGACGATATTCTCTAATTGTCATAGAATACTATGTGACATGTTCACCATTTATCGGAGATTATGTGACGATGCTCACCATTTATCGGAGATCATGTTACGATGCTCACCATTTATCGGAGATCATGTGACGATGCTCAATATTTATCGCAGAACACTATGTGGCAATGTTCGCTTTTTATCGAAGATCATGTGACGATGCTCACTCTCCATTGGACAAGATGATATGACGATGCTCACCATTTATCGGAGATCATGTGACGATGCTCACTCTTCATTGAAAAGATCATATGACAATGCTCACTCTTTATTAGAGATCATGTGACGATGCTCATTATTTATTTGAGAAAACTATGTGACGATGTTCACCATTTATCGGAGATCGTGTGACGATACTCAAACTTTATTGGAGTTCATGTGACGATGTTCACCATTTATCGGAGATCATGTGTTGATGCTCAATATCTATTGGAGATCATGTGACGATACTCAAACTTTATTGGAGTTCATGTGACGATGTTCACCATTTATCGGAGATCATGTGTTGATGCTCAATATCTATTGGAGATCATGTGACGATACTCAAACTTTATTGGAGTTCATGTGACGATGTTCACCATTTATCGGAGATCATGTGTTGATGCTCAATATCTATTGGAGATCATGTGACGATACTCAAACTTTATCGGAGATCATGTGACAATGCTCATTATTTATTTGAGAAAACTATGTGACGATGTTCACCATCTATCGGAGATCATGTGACGATGCTCACTCTTCACTGGAGAAGACTATGTGACGATGTTCACCATTTATCGGAGATCATGTGACGATGCTCACTCTTCACTGGAGAAGACTATGTGACGATGTTCACCATTCAGCGTAGATCATGTGACGATGCTCATTATCTATTGGAGATCATGTGACGATGCTCACCATTTATCGGAGATCATGTGACGATGTTCACCATTTATCGGAGATCATGTGACGATGCTCACTCTTCACTGGAGAAGACTATGTGACGATGTTCACCATTCAGCGTAGATCATGTGACGATGCTCATTATCTATTGGAGATCATGTGACGATGTTCACCATCTATCGGAGATCATGTGACGATGTTCACCATCTATCGGAGATCATGTGACGATGTTCACCATTTATCGGAGATCATGTGTTGATGCTCAATATCTATTGGAGATCATGTGACGATGTTCACCATTTATCGGAGATCATGTGACGATGCTCATTATCTATTGCAGAAGACTATGTGACGATGTTCACCATTCAGCGTAGATCATGTGACGATGCTCAATATCTATTGGAGATCATGTGACGATGTTCACCATTTATCGGAGATCATGTGTTGATGCTCAATATCTATTGGAGATCATGTGACGATGTTCACCATTTATCGGAGATCATGTGTTGATGCTCAATATCTATTGGAGATCATGTGACGATGTTCACCATTTATCGTAGATCATGTGACGATGCTCATTATCTATTGCAGAAGACTATGTGACGATGTTCACCATTCAGCGTAGATCATGTGACGATGCTCATTATCTATCGGAGATCATGTGACGATGTTCACCATCTATCGGAGATCATGTGACGATGTTCACCATTTATCGGAGATCATGTGTTGATGCTCAATATCTATCGGAGATCATGTGACGATGCTCATTATCTATTGCAGAAGACTATGTGACGATGCTCAGAACTTATCGGTGTAAATAATTTAGCGATGTAAACCATTTATAGGGAAAATGCCACCCACAACTCCCGAACCCAGGAGCCATATCGATAGACGGATTATCCTAAATTAAGAAAACGGTTTTTAGGCAACTGTTGAAGTAACTGGTGTGAAGTACATGTTTATGACACAAAATGCTTTGAGATTGAAAAACTGCAACGTATTTTCGCAATATTTGTTTCTTTTGTGTGAAATAATATTTCGGTAATATAACACATATCTAATTTTAAAAAAACCAGATGTAGCATATATATTTTTTTCTAATGGCCATCAACGGTAAAAGGGATTGCCGTATATTTGGAAATGGTTTGTGAAAACCATGCCCAGGGGAGCTGTAAAACACAAACTAGAATAAGAGTTCTGCTGGTTTATGACTGGAGTTTATTATCATTTTAAAAATGAGGACATCTGTCTTTTTTACCACACCTTGATTTAAGTATTGGTGTGGGGATTTCATAGATTCCAATGACGGTATTCGATCCTAGCTCTGATGAAAATGATTGTTAAAAGATGCTAAAAATAGCATCAGAATGCCAATATCTTCACTCAGCTGAAATCAAATTATGTCATTATAGCAATAGCCTCGCCTAGTTATTTGTGTGCTCGGAAAACAATAGAACTGCATCATGAACTCTCGATGTCTTTTCTAGTGTCGTTACGACTTACAGATGTGTTTTGTAGTAACCTGACAATTACATATCTTAAGGTACCGGAATTGACAGCGAATAAATGGATCTACGACTCCGTCTTCGTCTCAAATATTATAAACGTGATTATGAACGTAATGCAATCAATAAGAGGTAGTTATGTTCTATTTTCACAGAAACTACGTAGGGCGATTAACGAGGATGTGACAAGAAAGACGACATGTTCAAACACAAGTGACAGTTTTATATCACAAATCAACCATGAGCAAAAAGAAGGTAAGAAAACGCAAGCATACACGCGTATAAGCGGATGAAGAGGTATTTAATTGCAGTAACCATTCACGTCAACTGATTGCATCACAGATATGGGATTCATTAAACTATTCTAAAACGCAATGATCATATTTTTCATTTATTTGAATACCAGAATTGGAATTGTATTTTTAGGTATGAAAACATTTTGGCCAATGAAGAATTCACAAAGTAAAACATAGGTCTAGCAATTTTTTTATCATTGGCAATTAGTAACACTATATATCAATTTGTACAGTTAACACATACGGAGAATTTTGAATGGTTTCCCATTGCATGTAATATATATTATGCATATATCAAAACAAAAATGGTATGTCCCACGATTGTATGGTAACACTGACGATATTGAAGTTCAGATAATTGGTCTTGGGCGCACAGAAATATCTCCTGATGCGGAATGGAATATACCATACTGTATCACATTGTAATGAAAAACTCCGATTGTAAGCATAGAAGCATGTGAAACTTGCAGGATCGTTCTGCTTCACATCAGTGCTTATCTACCAAAAATCTGTAATAATTCTTGATTGTTCATGGTCATGTTGAAGTATCTGATATCATCAAATAAGTGTTGATGATAGTTTAGAAAGCCGCAGAATCATTAATGTTCATGTAGCAATTCTAGCAAGGACATTAAAGAACCTTGGTACTTCTGTAGCCTAAAGAAAATGCGATCGTTACAAGTACATATACCGGCGACAAAAAATAAATTGGTATGAAATATCTGGGTCTTCAATTATTTCTTCCTTAAAATTTAATAACGTCGACGATGATAGCGTTAAGTGTTCGAATTGGAAACCATGGCAGTCGATGCCAACGAAATGATGAAATATGAAAAGTTCTGTAAAACATAATTATAAACTTATATCTAACAGATTTACACACAACAAACAAGTTTCTATGTGTTAAAGAACGGCATATTTTTAATGTAATATACGTTGAAGGTCTTGGCAACTATAGAAATATATTGATTGATGTAAATAGCTTTTTTTTTTATTAATTCTAAGATTTGTCTTGAAGAATAGAAATAAAGAAAAAAAATGAATGAATTCGTAGTAGATGTTAGAGCTATAAACAATGAAATTCAGAAAGGCTAGAGATATGTCAATAATGGTGTAATTGAAGCAGTTATCAGTTTCTCAGTCATGCGTCTATCCGTGTGACGTCGGAAAATAAGATCTCCAGCGACAGTCAACGAACTCTGTTGCATGTCAGGGGATTACAAGGGTTAGGCATGCGCGTTGTGAATGGCAGCTTACATAGTATAAACAGCATGTAGTACACACGTGCGCATGATATTTCTCTTCATTTGTTCACAGTACAACCTCGCCGCTATGGCAGACAACAGCACCAATAAGAGTGTATCGAATGGCACATCCGGTATACCAGGTGTGTCCGAAAGTAAGGAGGATATTGCCATACAAGTGGTGAGTATACTACAGTTCATCTAGTACTGTACTTAGATATCAAATCTACGAGTTATCATGTAGTCGCAGATTTTGTAACAAAAATCTTTAAGTGATATTCAATACATTACAATGAATATGTTACGTAGCTGGAGTTTATGCTTTTGAAAGAAATAGTGTCACACCCACAGGTAGATGCAATTGTACAGTGAAATGGTTGTTAGAAAATATGTGCATTTTGAATATCGAAAATGAAGTTACGTTGCATTTTAGCCATGAATGTTTGCCCTTAAATGTCAGGAGAATAGTGATATATTTATGATCACTGAATTGGACGAGAATTTGTCCCTAACAAATAAATGTATTTTGTATGTTAAGAGATACCCGAATGACTACTTTAATGAACAAAGGTTAAGTTAACAAGCGAATATGTTTTAAGTTTTTCAAGTCAGTCATTAAATACAAGAAAATTGATGTTTCCGTATTGCGAACAAGAGAGGAAGTCCAACAGACAAAACAATAAAAATGATTTTATCAGCATCCTTCTGTTGGGTAACTTAACCATGGAAAATATCATGCTTGCATACGTATTTCGGAAATCGTCTTACCTCTTTTTATTTTAAAATCTCATATAATGTAAAAGATACGAAGACCATGGAGAAAGCAATTCCTTCCTTAAATAATGTACGAAAGACACACAAGCGGATTTCAATGTAAATGCAGCAGAGACAAATAATTATTAAGACTGCATCGTACAGAATAATCATTGTAGCTAAGGACATAAGAGGCGACTAAGGATAATCAAATTTATTGAATGAAATGTCAAGAACTAGATGGATTGGTGCTTGTAGTCCTCCAATCAATAAAGGTCGTAATTTACAGTTAACCTTGAAGGCACTTAATATTCCAGCACTCACATATAGACCATTAAGAAAAAGACGTAATGGTTTGTCCAGAAAATGATTAACAGTTTTCAATTGAATTCTGTAAGAAATGAGATTTTTATGAACATTAATATACGAGAACGAGACGTTATTTAGTGAACCTGGAAAAGAATATTGCCGCTTGAATATCCGTTCACATTCTTTCGGATTCAGGGTTATTGCGATATGGAACAGGTTCTCAGAGGCTGTTATACAAGAAACGACTTTGAAATCAGTTTGAAAAAAACTAATTGAAAAAATCTGCAATAGAATCACTTAGTGTACACATCTTTGATATGAAGATAATTACTACATTGCTGTTATGTTCTGATTTATGAAATTGACAACAAGACAGAAATTTTTGTGATGTGCTAATAACATATCCTTTTATTTCTGTACCGGTCAAAAAGGATACTTTCAATAATGTTTCACGGCGTACTGAACAAAGCTAGTGTCTTGTGTATAGTCATACGCGTGTTAAAAAAGTTACACTCATTGGATTTGATTTGATTATGCCTTTGAGGTTTTGGTCACAATGGGTATTTTACGCCCTGTATATACATCTATCAAGTAATTTATCTCACACCGTTTAAAAGTACGTATCAAGTTAAAAGTGCATTCAAGAACCACAGGTACTCACCATTTCAACCATCAAGTACACTGAAAATGATGAATTAAGATAACAAGTGCTCAAAGTTTCCTTGTAAAGCATTTCAGCCTGTTGACAACAACAATCTGATTTTTATTTTATTTTGTGGGAACAAAAATTCTTGAAATTACTGCCTTTAATACGAGGAGATCAACTAAGTAGTGCTGTTTTTGATCACGAGGCAAAACCGAATATATTCAACAGAATCTCATTTGACATTTTACAATATTATCCCGCATTGGAGACTGCTTCTATTTAAGTATGTTTCATAGTTTTAATGTTTCTTTTTTTAAAATTCTAGTTGAAATCCAGAATAACAGACATTGCAAAACCAGACCATGATGATTTCTACCTCCGGAAATGGCTTAAAGGTAACAGCACACGACAATATCACCTGGTTATATATTCAAGATATTGAAAAGACTAGGCAAAAAATTGTTCCACTAACAACTGACGTCATTAGGAACGGATTTAATGTTTGGATTCTATATCTATTACATTATTACTTATAGCTGTATCAGTTACTGCACGTAAGAGAAAACGTGCATCCGCACGTGATGAAGGAAAAACGTTCCTATCAGTTACAATTCCGAAGAGATTTATACTATCTGTAAGATACGATGCCACCTTTGATTCATGTCCTCCTAATAGTACTTATATAATCGTTATTTCGTTTCGATTATCAATTTCATGATTTTGTTTTCATTTTAACCACGTGTTCTATGTTTGCGTAACATGTATTTATGGTAAATCTGCTATACTTAGTATAACGTTGTGCAGCACGCAAAGTATTAACTATAACAGGCAGATTGATAACATTTCATTGCTCAATAGAGCCACTTCTTTGAATAATATCACACGCAAATCATAAACCCAACGCAGCTGATTGGTTACCTGAATATGATTTGCACTTAAAAACATTCTGTTTCATAATGCGTCAGTATTGTTGCTTATTTGAATGTTTCTATGTCCTTGGGCCGACATGTCTCGGGCTAAGATCCTGTAATATCCTAACCTTGGCTAACGCCTCGTTTGGGATTATGTTGAGGATCTTAGCCCTCGACTGAGATACCCCGATCTTGCTCAGTAACATATTTTTCTAGTCCGTCTCTACTTAGTCTGTCGTTCCATCCGTTCTTTCATGCTCATAAGAATTGTGTTATTCATATTACTAGAACATAATAGATAATGTTTAAATCTGTATTGTGATTGTACCAAGACTTGGTCATTGAAGCATGTTGATGACAGCATTTTGATTTGTGCTTTATCAATACATATTTCATTGAATATTTAAACTGTTGGACGTACCTATGCTATTGTTTGTTCTATTGTGTCACTGGTTAAAATAATTTGATATTGGCAGCTCGCTGTTACGACATCGACAAGGCAGAAGCGATGTACCGAACGGTATGTTATGACTTTTTCCAACTTTTGTCTCGTTTTATACTCGTTTCGTAACTGACATTTCAGCGTTTATCATTGCGATTTTACAAGAAACGACACGTTGCATATGAAATCGGAATGGTATTATGTGCTAGATAATTTTGATGCCGGCTTTCCGTTAACAGATCTTATATTCAGCAGTGCTACAACTCCCTCTACTCATAGTCACGGAAAGGTGTGATATTAATTAGCACGTGACTTACACTAATCACCTTTCTGAGGGATGGTATAGCGTGATGGAAAATCCTCTGATCACAAGTCTCGGTACACGTGTACCAACTCACAGTATCACATGGTTTTAATGTTAAATATTGTTATTTTAAAAAAAAATACAATTATAAAATTATCCATTGATGAAAATTATTGTCATTCTGATATATACACTGATACTGACTATGAAACCACCCATAAACAATACGCCATGTAAATTCTAATCGTCTTCGAGAAGAAGCTTTGATCGATTTTTGACTTTGGGTTGTGTTTTATCAATTGCTAATGGACATCATCTCTGACAATTTCTGGTGGATAAAACACCTGTCCAATCAATCATGTATCTGGCATAGCCATTCATTCATTAATTACATTACCTGTCCGGACGCCTAGTCAATTAAATCATGATTAGACTTGAATATATATTTTTTATCGTTGCTTATTTTTATCTACTGATGATATGATGCCTTCTTAGGGACAAAGCCCTTTACTTGCTTAAAAAAATATCGTACATCAGCGTTGAACAACTGTAAAATATTTTTCGTGTCGGATTTTTTTTTATTGATTTTGTGAATACTCTTTATATACGATTTCATAGTCCACGAATTGTTGAATTAGTATAAGTAGATTTATTGGGATATATTCATCCATGAAAATAAGCATCCATGAAAAAAAATACGAACAATATTCCCACCAAAATAAATAAGTTTACAATATTTATCTAATGAAGGTTGATTAACGAATATTATACGGTCTTTTTCATAACACAAGGAAGACATAGTAAGCATTTGAATTTTCATCTCCAGCCCTATCAGTCAACTTCCTTACCCCGTCATATTACAACTGTCTTCTATTTCTGTACCATTTCTGACTTCTTCTTTTGTGTCAGTAAAAAAAGCCTCAAACAAAAAGCAAAACAAATTAAACGCAAGTAACCCCCCTCACACCTTCACCACCACCGCTAACAGCTAACAACAACAACAAAAAACAACAACAACAGCATCGACAAAAACAGCAACAACATCAACAGCAACAACAAAAACAACAGCATTAACAAAAACAACAACAACAACATCAACAGCAGCAACAAAAACAACAACATCAACAACAACATCAACAGCAACAACAAAAACAACAGCATCAACATCAACGACAACAAACAAACAAAAGATCCATATATTCAGATGATATTCTTTATACAAAACACCGCCCGACAACCTGTTATCAGTTTTGTGCTGTTTCATTATTGACAGCTATTTGTTCAACACAGCAAGAACAATCCTTCTTGATAATGTTTAGCTTATCAATTCTCACGATTTTGCTATGCTGTTCAATTCAAACTGAAATAAACACATAGCCAGTCTATGGAACCTATTCTTAACTGTAATCGTAAATCATTTCTAAACGTGATTGAAAAAAGTAATTAATTAATTTGACCTACATATTGAAGGCAATACATTTTTTCGTCCGAAAAACGTTGCTTAACTTTTTGTCTGTGTATTTTGTTGTCATTGACTTCGGTTTCATTAGTTATTTTTATTTTGTAACATCAGTTCCGTATGTTTTAGATGAAGATAATTAAACGTAATACTAATTATTTCACAATTTGTTTAAACTGAAGTATATGCTATGTAATGACTTTTACGGTTTCAGAGCATGGCGTTCCGTGAAAAGCTGAATGTTGATCGTATCCTCCAGGACTACGACCCGCCTCCGGTATGTTTAACCCTCCATTATCATAATTAAACCTCATACAATTTTGTATTCAGCTATTTAACTCACTCGTCAAATCAAAATGACTGCCGACGAATGAGATTGTTCATCAATCCTTCCAAAGGTCTTGTTACATGACTATAAAACACGACTTCGGCTTAGGATATTCTTATAATTTTTTTTATCGGAAGATTGTTGTGCGTGATTCTTCCTTCATTATAAATAACAGAGATAAGCTATACTATGATAGGTCGTCAACCTCGCTATAGAAGATAGTGAGATATGACAAGCCAAGACAAGTTGTCTTCTTTGTACAGGTGTCACGTTTTTCTCTACGGATCTGTAAACAGAAAATAAAAATAACTATTGAAATAGCTAGTATAATCCTGATGATTCTATTTGAACTGCTGCATTGATGATTAACGACATAATCTTTTAGTGAAAACGAGCGCTTTATGATATGGAAATTCAAAGTGGTTGAAAAAACAACAAACCTTTTTTACGTAATTGCTTTAAGCAGCTGGGTTGTTGGTGTTATCACAGAACGTACCAAGTTATTTATTTGTTTTTTGACTGACAAAATACACTTTCAAACTTACACGTGGTGACAAAGCATACTTAATTTTATATAATAATGTAGATGAACTGAAGAAATATATATGTTAATTGTTTGAAAGGCAAACCAATTAAGCAATCAAGATTATAACACATGTGATTTCTTTTTCATTTAAACGGTTTAAGGTTCGTGAATCTCCGTCACGTTCCGTAAACGAGAAAATGTACCGACTTTTGTTAAGTGCCGAAGGATCCAGAATTGTCAAAAAACATATTGTATGCATGTAAGATAAAACGATTGTTTGTGATTTTTTTTATATCATTATTATTTACTTTGGTAATGCATTGAAACGGACCGTTCAAAATGACAAATAAATCATATCTTATCAACAAACGATTGGAAACGATTTAATTAAAGCTCAAGTCTTCATTATTACGTTTTCCGTATCAGGCAATCATGACTATGTTTATATGTTTTGTATTTCCACACCTGTCAAATATAATTTTTCAACATTGCATGTAAGACGATACAGGCTATTTCTCATGGGGATGAGAGCATTTTACAGGTTCTGTATAGATTGAATTCCTACACAACCTCGGCTTCATATCGAGGGACCATCTTTAAGTGTTTTAGCCTCATTAATCCGTATTCCCTTTGGCCGACTTGACATTTTGATGTGTTGGTACCTTGACAAACACTGGGTGATGGTTCGTAAACACCAGGAAGGTTTCCGATTTCTCAGCCAGTCTCAAGAATACGCAGGTGTTACAGTTACATATATCCTCGTGGCTGTGGCAGACCAGAGTCGTCTAGAACGAAATTGCAAGAAATAAAGTGAAACATGATTGAATCATAATTCCGTCTTGGCAAGTACTGTAGGCATGATCTAATACTTAATTCACTTGTATCCACACCCTTAATGTCACGATATCATTGTGTCATCTTAACACACGTCATTAACGTCAGTAATTCATGTACAACTCATTCACATACGTTATGAACGTCTCTGATTTGTGTACAACTAATTTACATACGTTTTGAACATCACTGATTCATGTACAACTAGTTCACTTAAGTTATGAGCGTCACTGATTCGCGTACAACTCATTCATATGCGTTATGAACGTCACTGATTCGCGTACAACTCATTCACATACATCATGAACGTCACTGATTCGTGCACAACGCATTCACATATGTTATGAACGTCACTGATTCGTGCACAACGCATTCACATACATCATAAACGTCACTGATTCATGTACACTTCATTCACTTGCGTTATGAACGTCACTGGTTCGCATACAACTCATTCACGTACGTCATGTAGGTCTTTCCCAGCTGTGTGTTGTGGACGGATATATCACAAATTGAGTGTACAGGGAATCATCAGTGTGTAAGTAATGATGATATTTTACATGACCACTATTCATGAAGTGATGACGTCATCACACTATCAATGGTGACGTCAAAACACGTTTGGGATCTCTTTTCTACGAGGTGTACATCCCCAAGTAGGTTTTCCTTTATACAAAGCTTAACCATGTGCTGTCTGAGGTAAAAAGTCACAGGTTAACGACGTGATATTTGAGGTAGAAGTTATCACAATTTAAGAACGTGTTGTCTGAGGTAGAAAGTTACTAGTTTAAATATCACAGTTTAACAAATGTATCACATTAATTAAACTTAATGTGACTTTTATTTTACCTTATTTAGGTGCTGAAGAAATACCTAACCGGAGGATTCATTGGGCACGCGCTGGATGGTTCACAGGTCCGAGTGGAACTGTTCGGAAAATTGGACATAAAAGGGATCATGTGTTCCGTTCGTAAATCAGATCTGGAAAAGACGAAAATTTTGCAATGTGAGATGACAGTGAAGGACCTGAAGGAGAGATCAATCCTGGTAGATAGATATTCCTTTATATTGATTTTGATATACGTTTAGTTTATGATTCCTTTGTGGTGGCAATCATTCTTATGAAATTAGATCTGTCGTAAAATAATGCGACCGTGACCTACTTATCAGCTTTTGACAATTGTGTTCAATTTCGTTTTTAAAACCGGATACTTATTACGCAGAAAACACATTTAGTTTGTGCGAACTTAAAACATTAATATTTATATCTTTATATGATCTTACATCACTTAAACCTGCTGTTTAGAAGTTTCATAATTCAAGTTAATGCAATTTGAAAAATAACATCTTCACTCGTTTTTCACCATTGTTTAGTTTATGTATTTTTTGTAAAGCAACATTAATCAAAATACAGTGAATCTAATGTTTGTAATAATGATTTTTGTATCAGAAAAATCATCGATTATTAAACTACCAGTCACCGATAATTGAATTGTTTATAGACAGGGACAAGAGTTGATGGACTGACGGTCATATTTGACATGGAGGGTGTCAGTACTAAGATGCTGTGGAGGCCAGGTAAACTGAATCGGTGGTTTCCTCGACATGAGTAAATGCTTAATAAATTTGATAAAATGACCTCCTTAAAATTGAAGAAATGCCAACATGTCCACGGAATCTTGATTCAATTTCAAAATTAATGAAACGAGAGCAAATATAAATAAAAGGTTAGATTTACATGGTGACCCTTGAAAGAGAATAAGGAAAATGAGACCAGATGTTACGAAGGAGTAAGCGTTTTCTGCTTCATCGAAGACACAGCCATGTAAATCCTAGTCAATCTGACACACCCTTTCTCTATGGCCGGACAGGCAGTATGTAAAATGAAGTATATGTTTCGGAAGAACTGGTCGTATAAAAGTCCCCAGGGAGTTTATGTAAAGCATACTTTTGTTCATACTATCACATGTTTAAGCAAGTCTGAGTTTGAATTATAATTTGGCGGACACGTCGTTATTCCCTATAACATTGCAAAAACCGCGGTCAACAATTATTTATCTGTTTGCAGTTAAAAAAAAAAAAGTAAAATGTCGTTTTTGTTTCAAACCATAAACAGACTTTTGGATTTAGGCTGCTGTCAATGTTTAACTTCTTTTATATCCAATAACTATATTTACAGGTATGCAGATGTACTTGTACCTGGTAAAGCTGCTTGAAGACAACTACCCGGAAATGATGAGGAGATTATTGGTTATCAATGGTGAGTTATACATTTTGCATGATAACAAGTACAGTAAGTAGACACACGCATTTCAAAATAATGACAGTGTATTTTTTTTTTTTTTTTTTTCGGCAAATCCATTCTATTCTTGAAAAAATATGCATTTCTAATCTTTATTAAATATGGTGTTTTAGAGAGGAAAAAGCAAACACATTTTCTTGTATGTATAAAACAATCTACCACATTTTCTGCATTTGTTGAACATTTGGATTATGATTCTTCTCCGGACATTCTAAATCATGCACTCTTCTTTTCCGATCTCAATGCCTCTGTTCTCTATAGTAATGAAAGTAATACATATTCTCTCACCGAGATAAAGTTTGAAGCTGGTATCTTTGATCTGCTGATGAGCAGGAGAAGCAGTACAGGTGGCAGAAAGGACCTGATGATGATACAAGATAATCCATTCTCAGTATATTCTATCCTATTTATGACAATGCGGAAGAAAAGCATGTCGAAATGTTGGATGTTCATTTTTTTTGTTTTTTACATTTTGGCGTAATTCTGGTGCATACCCACCATAAAATTATGTAGACTTGCAGTAACCTTCCTTTTATATGCTGTCTTGTCATGTCTATTTCTAAAACTAGCTCTTCTGACCTTATTTGACTTCATTTGATGTCAATGATTATATAATTGTCCCTTCTAGTTGCGCAACATACATATATGACACGTATAAATAACTCGTGAGCGTTTATATTACATGCATCCATATATATTCATACATACACACATTCATACATATATATCACATTCTTAGTAAAGGCTCACCTTTCCGACTGTTTTATATTTACAGCGCCTAAGATATTTCCTCTGTTGTACAAATTGGCCAGACCTTTGATCAGTGATGATATGAAGGATAAGATCCACGTTGCAGGAGGTAAGTGTAACAATGGAAACAACAATTAAAAGATCTGTAAGGTCAGAAGGGTAAGCGTCCTCTGTTGTTTTCACGACACCTGCCATGTCAATTTTGACCACTCAGGTCAGTTATGTCCGTTCCCAAATTAGAGCAAGGTAAATAACAACAAAACAACATGAGGTACTTCTGAATATCAAACATTTCCATCTCAATTTCACACAAAGGAGGGAAGCATGGAGTTAGATTACAGGTAAACGATAACTAATATAACCTAACTACAAAAGGAACTTTCCATAAAAACGAAAGTAAGCGGAACCTCTACTTGTCACTGTTTCATATACAACTTGCAATCTAGTACATGTAAAGTCATTTAGACTGAGGTCCTTGTCTAAACAAAGATATCTGGAAAAAAACTGAAATTGGCTAATTTTTCAATTTTGTATAGTTCGACTTTTCATTCAACCAAAGAGAATATACGTTTCATTTTCTCAAAATAATCGACAAGTAATGCCATAATATTAATATCCTTTCCGCAAATGTCAAAACTTAAGTGATTTAAAGTCTGCGGTTCCGTCTGCATCTTGGTTTTCTTGTATTTGTCAGTTACATGGCAACTACTGATAGGAGAGAGTTTTGGGCTTACAATTGTAATCTTGAATTCTTTCACGGACAATTAAGTCATTGCCTGTTTAATCCAAAATGAGTCAATAACGTAACTGAATATATGTGGGATTTTTTCTGTGCACCAATCCAAACTTGAAACTAATCATATTACAGGATATTGCAGGTATATCTATCTATCTTAATCAACGTAACTAGAATCCTTCTGGTAAACATTTTGATTAAAAATTCAATTCAAGAATTGTTTTCAATGAAGGTCAATAAAAATGAAAGGTCTCTTTTAATGGAATTTTGCGTACAATTATTTTCGGAATTGTCATATGTTAACCAACCGAGATTGCTAACTAGTATGTCGGATTTTCGAAGAGAAATAGAAATTTGGCATAAAAAGCTACTTATTTGATACATTTGTAAGAATGGTTATCTGCCCTTTGGTCAGATTATTCAAATGAGATACCTCTTGTCAAGAACTCTGAGTTTGAAGATTGTACGAAAAACACAAAAATGAATAGCACCTTTTAATGCAAATAAATTGAGAGTTAGACACAGTAGAGCCATACTATAAATTTCACTACAGCATTCAGTTGTTATGCTGTTCTAGAGAACCTGTCAGTAACGCTAGGGAATAAAGAATATGTTATATTTATATTCATTGTGAAAATATGCTATCAGCTAAATGTGGGAAGAAAGTGGATTACCTAAGGAAAATGCATGTGATCGATCAGGTGACCCCATACATTAACACCTCCGCTCGAAGAATCGAACCCCGAACGTCTAGGTGAAAGGCGAGTGCAAATTTACTGCACTACTAAATATTCGTATTTATTGCGAGATCAATGAAAACAAAAAAGATATAAACATTGGATATTGTTTTAGTTTAAATGTTTATTTTCAATATATTCAGATTGTATAATCTATTTTAACTATAAGTTTCAACCTTGTTTTGCATGTGTAGCAACTAAAATTAAACCAATATTTTGAGAAGTCCAGTTAAGTTCAAATTTGATGTGAAAACAACGCCACTCTGCAGCCGAATATGCCTTTCTTCCAGAATATCATATTGTGTTTTGTTACAGGAGACTATAGAGAGTTGCTGTTTAAGTACATCGATCCCAGTAACATGCCTGCTTGCTACGGTGGGAAACTCACAGATCCGGATGGCAATCCTAGATGTGTCGAAAATGTAAATATTGATTGTAATTTGTACGGTTAACTGATATAATTACTGGATACAAAAATTAATACAAAGTGATCTGATTGTTTGATGACAACAAAAGATCTAACATATGTGTTATGTGTATGTTATACTGGTCTGTGAGATATGTAATTACCAGATATATCATATTTTACAGCATAAGAGGAAATTACTCCATTCCAGATTTTGGTTTGTTTTGTCATTAGTTTGTACATAAATCCGGATAAGGTGACCGGGACATCTTTTAAAATCCTAATCCAGATTGGAGCAAAACAAAATGACGATATCTGAATCTGGAAGGTTCCGTCTAATGTTTTTATTGTGATATCGCTTTATACATCCAAAGTTCACTACAAGTGTGTAAGTATAAGTGTATAATCGATGCTGGGACGAAATGAGACTGAGTAGGGCAAAAACGTAGGTCAATAAGAATTTTGATTTTTGCACATTTGATATAAACTGATTCAAAGCTTTAAACATATTCCAATTTATATTTATTACAGATATGTCAAGGTGGGGACGTACCCGAGTCGTATTACTTACAAAACACTCAACTGCTTGAACACATGAAATCGGTCACCATACCAAAGGGAGACAAACTGCACCTGGAATATACCGTTGAAAAAAAGGGGTCGATCCTCAGGTAAATTTATGAAAGATGTTTACTGGAGGTGGTGGCATGAAATAAGTCAATATTTTCCCTGTCATATCTGATCTAGATTTATTGACTTCGACAATATATTAGACAATTGCGAGTTCATCCGTAAAACTGAAATAAGAGTATGTGAAGTGTGTATGAGAATTCATAGCGTTTTTACAAATATCGATAATTCTACATTACTGTAGGACACATTGGGCTCAATGCCTATTATTTGTAAATCATTACGTTTGAAATTGAAATCAACAGGTAGTATGACGATTATCATAGAATTGGACGGGTTTTATTTTATTTTGTAGGCGGGATAGAGTGCGGTGGGGTGGGCATAGCGGGAAATACTTGTCCTTTGAGATATATACAGAGTTACTGTTCTTGGCGAGTGAACAGTTTCTTGTGCATGAAAGCCCGAGTTTGTTGAGTTTTCCGTCCGTTGTTCGCTATCGATGAAAAATTAACTCTATTACTTTCGGCGAATTATAGTTGAAGTATTCGTGAAAATGTACAATTAATTTCTAATTTAAAAGCAAACGGAATTTCACCGTCAAAAAAGGTTATCGTGAAGTCAGGAGATAGTCCGTGACTGTATACCGAGAGTACGCCTTGCAGGGGTTCTCCTGGTTTCGCGTTTATAATTTTTTCTTTTTCACAGCCAGTCGCATATTACTTTTAAAATGACGTAGGACGATTATCCATCATCTTATTATACCAACCAATGAAATCGCTTGAATAAAGCAAATGTCGTCATTTCGGTCTAATTTAGAGTCGGAAAATTCCAACAAGGAATTTCTTACCCCGGTATTTGTCACGACAAATCCAGAGCTTCGCATGCTAAAATATGAGCGCATATGAGTTTTGAATAATTTCTTGCTATATAAACAGTACACTTACTTCACAATAAACGAGAAAGAACTTACGAATAACATGAAACCGTCCGGGCGACGAATTCGGCTTGAGCGGGCTCCTATCATGCTTAGCGTTGTAGTCAAGAACGACAACTCAATACCGCTTCAAGTTCGTGGGAGTGTTAATATTTCACGATATGGTTAAATTTTGCGGGTTTTTTTTGTTTTTTGTTTTTTTTGTTTTCTTTTTGGAGTGGGGGGGGTTAAAATGTTATCAAATATTATAAGCTAGGCAAAAAGTAATCTAATTAAGTTATCAAGGAACAATATCTTTCTTCTGTGCAGATGGGAGTTCCAAACAGACGATTACGATATTGGGTTTGGCGTTAGCTTTAAGGAAAATGGTCATCTTACACCTATTGTGCCTGTGACACGTGTAAACAGTCACGTGGTTACAGAGGACGGCAGCATCACATGTGATAAACCGGGGATTTGTAAGTACTTCATACAATGTGGCGTAAGTCACCAGAACTTTGTGCTAGATCTGTGTATAGCTTTTAACTCTGAATCTCAATAATAGTGTATAGCTACATTTCTTTATCTTTCTATCGCTTGTTTAACAATAAACTAACAATTCTATAACACGACTATATTTTAACAAAATTTTGTATATCATCTGTAACTAACCTTTCAGCAATATAACTATTAAATATTGCAATCAATCATTATTATTCACTTTGCCGGGATAATATCAGATATTTCTACCTCGTAGGAGTACAAAAGGAACAGAACAAGAACATCATACTTATTAAAGATATTTTTTCCTCGGCAAATGTGCATTTCTAATTTCAGATGTAGTAATATTCAACAATAAATTCAGTTGGTTTAAGTCAAAGAAAATTCACTATTCTGCCGAAGTCTTCTTTCTGTCAACAAGTACAAGTATTAATGGTGCAGAAACGTAAATGTTGGTACAGTATAGTATCGAAGTGCATGTAATGTTGTACGATATGTATAGTCTGTCACACCACAAATAGACACAGGTATGTAACAGGGTCTGGTTCATAGTATATGTTATGAAATAAACATCAATTTCTGATATATAGATATTGCCTTAATCCCGTTAATGAAGTTTACATTGTAGTATTGTAATCGTGATATCCTAGCCAAATTAGAGAATACACATCCTCAAACGTAGTGATCAATATCTAATCAGTCTAGATATCATAATGGACTCAAATGTATGTTAGCTGTCCAGTACAAAAGTTATCAAATAACACGTTTGGTTGTTTCATACGTAAGAACGCTTGGCACCAATACTTCTGTCTCATCATTTAATTTTATATGGTCTTAGTTTTTTAATCATCAGTGAGAGATAAGTCCTTACTCTGTAATGAACTAATGTGCTTCCTGCTTTGTTTTTACCACATTTCTTTACATTCATTGATATATTCTTTATTCTCAGTACTGTACTTGTTTTTGAAAACTTGTGCGATATTGATATAATCAGCTTTACCATTTAACTGTTGTAATAGTGCATGTCTCAGACGTAACCTCTAGACCTCTTTAGTTTTGATAATTGTATCTTGTTTCGGTGTCTGTTGCGACTTGTTTGTAAATAAATTATTTGCGCTGGTAAATAATGTTTAAAAGTAACATCCCTTATATCCGTTAAGTTATGTGAATTCGGATACAATTTCATATGTTTTTACTGTGTTTGTCAATTTTTTGTGATCTTTTATCTCGTTGGTATATAAATATCATATACCGTATGGCCGGTCATTTTTGAGGGAATGCTATTTTCGCTGTGTCTGTAGATTAATGTGATCACGAAAATTTAATCCCTGAAACAATGAAATGCTTGTGTATTAAATGCCCTTTCACCTAAGCTTCGCCGAATTTTAATTTGTTAAAAGATAATTCGAAAATTTTAACCCCCGAAAATTAACGGACGTGCGGTATATATATATCGTATATAATATATTGCTATGAAACAATTGCAAACTTCAGCAATTTTACAGTGTATCCATGTCACATTTCACTATAAACAAATAGTATTGTATTGCTGTAAGCAAAATGACAGCCATAACTGTAAATATGTTTTTGTACCCTTTAAATCTCTTTAGTTATTTGATAATTGAATTCATTTTTAAGTGCAAAAAGAGCAACACTAATAAATACCATAATAAATTACTGTTTAAGATCGCAAACAGTTACTGTGAAAAAATACAGTCATTAACAAGGCATGTGTATGTTATCTCTGAACGTCTAGTAAAAATGTGAAAAAAGCGAATCCGTCCAATTAGGTTTTCAAAATGCCTTGAAAATCTGTTTATCAAATTAAATGTCTATATATACATAGTAGTAATCTATATGACAGACGCTTATTGATCTCATTGCAACATATTTTTGTCCAATACGTATGTCGAAAGAATTAATTGGTTCTAACGTCATTAAAGGAACTCACGTCACGTGTAGGGCTGTTGACATTGTGGTGTTTTTCCTTTAATTGCGATTGACGTATGTTCTTTCTGAGGAAGTCATAGCTCTTTACCATATAACTGATAGCCATCAGCTCTTATTAAATCGTATTTATGTATTTCTTATGATCCAGACTCGCTGTGCTTTGACAATAGCTTCAGCTGGACAAAGGGAAAGCGGGTCAACTTTATGGCGGAGGTTATCGCCCCTGATGATTCACTCATCAAATCGGAAATCAATGCTCTCATCGAAAAGGGTGATTGGCAGTCACTCTCGGAGAAATTCGAGACAACCCATCTTTGATATGTCGTCATTTGCAAATTATCACTACGACAGTGTAAGCATTTATTCGTCCATAGCCTGGAAGAATTGTACTTCTTGATAATTACAATCAACATTAATGGAAGGAGAATGATACTTCTTATTTAAAAATGCAGTTTGTAACTCATCATTTTTTATTTAACACAAACTATATGACTATACAGCAGGTTATGGTAAAATCCAAGCAGTTTCCATTTCATTAACCTCGATAGTATTTTACGTAGTGAAAGATTTAGTCAGCGTTTTGGTGTGGTTGACACGTTGATTACTCTGTAAGCGCTTCAAAAGGTAAAGAGAGATAACTGCTAGATCTGTTGAACTCGTACTACTCAAAGGTTGCGACATATACCTGCAATAAATTTCTATCAGGGCATTTATTATTGAGAGACATCTGACGTCATACATGAATTATTTATTGGGTACATTGTACCATGGGGAGGTTTACACATTGAAAATGAGTAATATACAAATAATTCCGTTTTCGAAAGTTAAACTAACCAGCACACTCACACACAAAACAAGATTTTTGTGTGAAAATTAAAATATTTCAGAAAGTCGAAAGAAAATTCGAGATGTTTCAAGGTGAAATTAAATATTTATATATCATTAAAATTACAGTAAAGTTCGCTTTTTAATTATATTACCTCGATGTTGTTTACCTTTCTCATAATGTTATATTTTAATGAAAATTATTTTGTGGTGTGTTAGTGTGTTGGTCAGTTCAACGCCTGAAAACAAAAGAAGTAGAATGCTAGCCATTTTCACAAAGACAGTCCCCTGTATATTATACTCTACCTTTTGTGTCCCAACCATACACACTTTAGATATATTTCCCTTTATATCATAACTCTTTGAACAGTATAACATGACCTCTTGTAAAACAGATGAAAGATATAGATCGCCGATTATAAGTTTATATATTGTTATTGTATTAATTTGTCATCTTTGATGTTTGTTTATTTTATTTTTTTTAATGATTCAGCAAGTTTTTAACGTTCTGAAGAAATGGATTTCGTTGACAATAAAATTGTCATTTTTAATTTTTTTTTTAATGACGTAGTATTTCAACGATTTTAGAAGTTATTTATGATTTATTCTATGGGAACGAAGATGGTTGTTCCCACAAGTTATATTTATCTTGTAGTTCCTATTAAAAATCAATAAGAAATATTAGTTGTAATTATGGGTTAAACCACGATAGGACTAACTTATTAAACTAAAATTTGTATGGTTAGTTATTTCGTATCATTTCGTTCACTATGATACATCGAAAAAGTTATATAATTTCAATAAATCATGCATAATATTGTTTACGTTTGTGTTCTGTTGTTTTCATTTACCAAACATTTTAGACATATCAAACTCATCTGCTTTCACTAACAACCAGGTCTGGTGTCAATAGTAGGGAATATTGGTTATGGATAATACCCGGAGTTATCATCAGTATTGCAGAGATTTGTTAAGTATAGTGCTGTGTTAGGACTTTCTGTAAACAGTATATATACCTCATGGGTCTAATATTGGCTGAAATATTAGAAAATGAAGAGAGAAATTTTAAGAAATTATAGAAATACTGTATAACAGATTATTGCCGTGAGTCAAAAGCATCGTAAAAATCTTTTACAATAGGAAAATAAAATTTCAACGAATTAGAATTCTGAATATGAAAGGATATATATTGTTTGCGAATACTTCTTCGATAGCAGGCTTCATTTTCAGGATCCTTGATTTGTCTGTCAAACGCTAGAATGACTGAGCGAGAACTGATGACGATATATGCTTATAAATTTAAGTATTCTGTATCATGTTACAAAAACTCTTGTCAACTTACTACTTCATCAGCTTCAAACTATTATAACTGTCCAAATACCCTACGAATATTGAAGATGACTACGCCGGCTTCTTTAAAGGCACTTTTTACCTCATGCAAAATTTACACTTTCCTAATTTATTTCACGCAGCTACTTTTCGCAATCACGTCAATTCCAAGCGAACAAAAGAAAATATTCTCCCCCTGAAAACAACTGGCTATATATGATATATCGTAAAGGGCGCACAGCTAACAGACCTATGATTTAAAAAATACACAAATTTGTTATAAACAGAAGTAAACACAAATATATTTTCGAATTCGAATACAAAGAACAGGGATTGGTTAAAAATGCGACACAGATTTGTTATTTTCCTACATATATATATCAGAAAGATTACACAAATATTATAGAATTTTTATAGACTTTGTAATAAAATAGAAATCTAATTGTACATATCATTCATTCGGATGCTACATATAGTCAATGCATAAATATGTTTCCATCATAAACAAATGTTGTGTATCAACACCAGAATGGAAGGTCAGTAGTTTCATACAGTTTGAGCTCATTTATGAAAATTTTAATCAACGTTGGCAACACATTCTTCAACTAGAGCTTGTATAGAGTTTGGGAAAAGCGACGAACACATCAAAAGTGTGGCACAGGCGTATTCTATGACTGAAAAAGTCTAAAACCTAATTTCTTAAAATGGGTATAAATATATTGCTGCGTCTATTGCGAATATGAGATTCTTCCAAAGCAGATGATAACAATTACACAGGACAAGGTCCGGGCTGAACAAGCACGTCATCCAAGGAAACAGAGCTTCCGAATCCCTCGCCGACCACATATTCAAATACAATCTACAAATAAGACAGATGCTTGGTGTACAAAACATTAAATCAAAAACAATGAGTTATCTGAATCTTTAAGAGATTTTTGGTATTAATGATAAAATATTTAGATGTTTATGCAATACAGTGTATTTGATAATATTGTAAACACTTTATAGATTGTATGGTTACACTGTGGAAAGATGTATGACTCGTTCTGTTGAAGAGTTCAAATAGTTACAATCATAAGAACAACTATTATTACTGCAGAAACATATATACGATGTGCTAAATTAACGGTATGGTTGTGTCTACCTGGTAAGGCTCGAATGTCTGGAATGTGGCACTGTACTGCAACCAGCCCATGCCCTCGCTATAGCCGGTATCCACGGGAACTGTGAAGAGGTTTTTAGAGTGACCCCGAGATTGGAGGATGACGTCAAGATATGAATTATCACGACCGATAACTCTTACCCAGAATATAAGACACTGGTTGCCTGTAGCGGGGTATAATGGTTTAGACTTAATTATCGCTCTGTCACCAGGCTGGTTCAATCGTGTCGTCTCTGCTATCAGGAAATGTCCTTTTCCTGAATAAAACAAGAACAAGGCGATTCATCTTTAAATATTTCTTACACATTAATATATATATATATAAGGAGAAGAGTATTTATTTGTGCCGTAGCTGAAAGACTTAAAGTTTATATTTATATGTCATATATGTAATACATATTTATTTTGACGGGAAGGTTTTGTAATTCTTTCTTGATTGCTGTTGTCTAATATAGTTTAATATATAATCATGTTCAGCTAAGGGAGAAAGTAGAAGTTGTATCCAAACTTACCCGTTTTACCATACGAATGATCGCTCAGAGGCCATTGTGGAAATCGACCTACATCGCCTTTCGCCAAAGTCCAGATGTTACTCTTATCTTTTTGTTGCTTAAACCCACATAGATGCCCCTCAAATGAACACAGTGTACGGTGCTGTTCGACTGAAAAGCAGAAGAAATCAATACATAATTCAACTTGTGATAATGAGTGTTTTTCCCCAATTCTTTGGTATCATTGATTATCTAGACTGTAATTGTCATCTGGTACAAGAAGATTTTAATTTAGTTTTATTTACTTTAATTGATATCGATTCATATAAGTAAGAATTCCAACTGCACATTATTAACAATGTAGCATTCGCTATGGAAGTATAATCAGTTGAAGACAATTGGACACCAATGAAATCTTTCAATACGTGTGTTGTATTAACAGATATAACAATTAACAATATAGTTAAATGTTACACTAAAATACGTGTAACGGCTGTTTCGTTCTTCACGATGCTAGGGGCCTTCAGTGACGTAGCATAGATGGCGACGTTGGAAAATCAAAATATAACTAAGAATCAGGTATTGAAACATTTGTTTTATGTTTGATTCAAAATAACGACAGACTCCAAGATAAAACCAAATGAGAGTCAAGGCCTAACTTACAAAAGAGCACGCTAAAGGGAAATAATCGCAAAATGCAAATTCGGTATCGGTTAGAGTTAAGATGGCAACTGCTTTTGCATCGTATCGCTATCTTTCGTCTGGCAGCAATGAAGCTGCATTTTGATATCATCCTAAATGTTTAGAAATATAATTCCAGTTAGTTAATAGTGTATGCTTACTGGCTTTCCGTCTGATGGATTGAACACAGCTTGGGAAATCATCGGACCACACTGCAAACGTCGGCTGGTCAACACACACCACAGAAGAAGAACCAATTAAATTATAGCTCTGGTCACACTCGAAGGATATCGAATCACCCGCGAAATGTGAATTGCCAATCATTCGACCGTGTCCAGGTCTTCTCGGCTGGATGCAACTCTTACCTGTAATATTACAGTATTTCATCAGCAATGTGTATGTTCTGGTTAGTACATAATACATAGCATCATTCAACGATCGAGTTCGAAAAAAAAAAGAAAATTTAGATTAGTAGGACAATAAAAAATCTGACGGCCAGAAATAATTGTATGTCAAAATAAACGTACGGATATTTTGGTTGATGGTATAAATGACTGTGAAACCAGTCCCGGTTGTGGTTTCGTCTGTTAGAAACTTGAGGTACATCTTGTTGGATGAGGATAGAACTGATGCTGGCGGCACAGTACCACAGTGTGCACCTAGGAACGTCGCGTTGTCGTTTGGACCATCAAAAATCTGAAATATATAAAATGGTTTGTATAAGATTTATTTTATGAACAAATGTGGATCACGTAGGTTTGGTCCGTTATGGAAGCTTAATAAGCGTACAAAAGACACATAAGTGAATAACACCTTCTTAATCAAATTTA